AACCAAACACAAATCAGATGGCAGTATAGAACGATTCAAAGCTCGCCTGGTGGCTAAAGGCTTCACCCAAGCTTATGGGATTGACTATCAGGAAACYTTTGCTYCAGTTGCCAAACTAAAYACTATTCGGGTACTTCTCTCCATTGCAACAAATCTAGATTGGCCATTGTTTCAACTTGATGTGAAGAATGCATTCCTAAATGGTGATTTAGTAGAGGAAGTGTACATGGACATACCTCCTGGATTTGAGGACAGATATACTAAGGGAAAGGTATGTAAACTCAGGAAGTCTCTGTATGGACTAAAACAGTCACCTCGGGCCTGGTTTGAAAAATTTACAAATGTGTTGAAACAAGACGGCTATACTCAGTGTCAATCCGATCATACCCTCTTTATCAAGCACTTCTCACCAAGTAAGATCACTGTATTAATAGTATATGTTGATGATATAATACTTACAGGAAATGTCTCTGAAGAAATGGTTCGTCTAAAGCAACTCCTCTCGAAGAAATTTGAGATCAAAGACTTGGGACACCTAAGGTATTTCTTAGGTATGGAAGTAGCAAGATCTAGTAAAGGGATTTCTATCACTCAACGAAAGTACACGTTAGATCTCCTAATAGAGACCGGGATGAGTGGTTGTAAACCAACAGACACTCCTATGGATGCAAATTCAAAACTTGGAGTTAATCCTGAAGATGAACCAGTTGATCGAGGCAGATATCAACGCCTAGTTTGGAAAGCTAATATACTTAACTCATACACGACCAGACATTAGTTTTGCTGTTAGTGTGGTAAGTCAATTTCTGAACAAACCTTCAAAGGAGCATATGGAAGCTGTGTATAGAATATTGAGATATCTCAAACACGATCCTGGAAAAGGACTGATGTTCAGAAAAACCACAAACCGAGCTCTTGAAGTCTACACGGATGCAGATTGAGCTGGATCTCCTATTGACCGTAAGTCAACATCAGGATACTGTTCCTATGTATGGGGGAATCTAGTAACCTGGCGTAGTAAGAAACAGCAAGTTGTAGCTCGAAGTAGTGCTGAAGCTGAGTTTCGATCATTAGCCCATGGGATCTGTGAAGGAGTTTGGAACGTCTTCTCACTGAACTCAAGGTGAAGACAGAAGGTACTATAGAGGTATTGTGTGACAATCAATCTGCCATAGYCATTGCAAGAAATCCAATACATCATGATCGGATGAAACATGTCGAAATAGATCGTCACTTCATCAGCGAGAAGATTGAGACAAATACTATCAATCTGAGATATGTATCTTCCCAACAACAAGCTGCTGACATTTTAACCAAGGCATTGCATCGACCCAGCCTTAGTAGATTAATCTCAAAGCTTGGAATGACAAGCATATATCATCCAGCTTCAGGGGGAGTGTAGAAAATCAAGCCGTAAATTAAGTTTTTTTTCCTTATTAGAATTTACATTATGTCTCTGTATATTCTGTAATTTTATTGTTTTCCTTATAGGCTTAGATTAATTCCTTATTTGTTGAAAGGTCTTCTTGTATATTTACCCCTAAATGGGTTGTAACGAGGATAAGAAAATATAACCCTTCTCACAAAGCTACAAAAAGTTTTGTTTCTAGTTAAAAAAGATCATATAAATAATGAAATACTCATCAAGCATACAAGTGTACACACACAGATCAGGACAGACCTTTGACACCTCGATATCGTCCTCGACATGCATGTTGCTGAAATCCCTCAATAATGTGGACGAGGCAGGCAAAAGTCTCCTGAAATATGGGGGAAATAAGAGTTGTGTGGAGGAAAAAAGATGCAACTACATCAAGTGAATAGCTCCAACTAAAATTGTTGCTGAATGAAAAGAGTAAAGTGGGTTGACAGATCAGTAGTTAAAAAATATTAGAAACTAGATGCAACCTAGTAACTCTAACCTTTTTGGTTTCTCTAGTTTGCGTGAGACGTCAGCTCTTGGCTCACTGCAATGCGCATCACTGTTGTGTTCTTGACAAGATGCAACATCCTGGGTAGGAGGTAGATGTTGAGAATTAGAAAGTTGTTAAAATGAAGAAAATAAAAATAAAGTAGCAACTGTTGCATCAACGTAAACTATGACATAATTTTTTTTCAAGGAAAACTTGGAATAAATGTTAGAAATTTCAACTTTGGGTTCAACTTTTGATAAACATCGTGCATTTAACTAAGCCACATGAATCAAGTCTAGTAACCATATTTAAATACAAACTAAGCCAATGATTATATACAGGTGAGTTTAGGGTATAGATCCTTCTTAAAATTATGTCAAAAATATCAAACAGAAAGGTACCGCCAAGAGTTCTTTTTCTTCATTCAAATGAGTTGAATCCCTGCACAAAAATGGAGATATCTAAGTTATTAAACTGGTTAAAAGAAGTCAAAAAGTTCAAAGAGAACAAAAATGGAGATATAGCTTCTGTCCAATGTGTTGTCATCGTTCAACTTGGAGAGTAGAAGTTAGCTGTTAACCAGTCTGCAAAAGAAAAGACATCAACTGACCTTTCAGACTTTTCTGAAGTTGATTGGTTTAATGATGTATCAAGTACAGGTTGAGTTTCACATTCATGATCATTGCAGTGAATAGACGGAGCTTCGCGTAAAGGTGATACAGCTGAAGTAGATTCCTAAAACATCCAGCAATTAAAACAGAAGAAAATAAACGCAGAAACCATAGATTTGTTGCCATAAATGGTTCTTAAAGGAAATATTAACAAAACGTCATAAATATTATATAAATAATTCGTTTACCATTTTTTACGAGCCACGAACTTCTCTAAACTTGGTTATCCATACTGTTAATCCAAAATAAATACTAACTATGACCTTTTTGAAATAATAAGATAAAAATGATTTAACCATTTAAAAATGAATAATAGGAGCAGTTGAAATTTTCCAACTTCATTTATCTATAAATTATTCCTTCGAATTGTACTCAAATAAAAAGTGTCTTCCGACATTCATATTCTGCAAGACACACGAGGTAAGTCACTGAAAAGTAAGTAGGACTCATTATTCATAAGTATGAACTAATTTTTTTTATAGGAATCAGTATGTACGGTAAGGATCAAGGTCCCCAAACGAAGAACAAATAGTAGATAGAATGTGACCAAAGTGATATCCATGCGTGTGGCTCCTTAAATTCGGATGAAATACAAACCCACTCAGACATATTGGTGTTATGTATGTTTCTATAAAGAATTCGGTTTCTTTCATTCTTTTTGGCTGATCATATGTTATTTCAATTTTAAATTTTAATCATGGTCATGTTTTTCCATTTAACTTCATCCTCTAGTGTGAAGTTCATCAAGTAGGTGAGAAATCGAGAATACATAACCATCTAACCTGTTGTGCAGTCTAATTCATGGACACAGAACAGCAATTCGAAGTATAGCATATAAAATAGGTTTTAACCTCATTGTGTTCACTGAGGTTGTCCAGCTCTACTGATGAACAACTGTTATGCCTCACCAAGATATGTGACTGCGGGGCGCCGAAGGCTAACTCTGAAAGTACAAGTCTATTGCTTAGAATCAAAAGAGGGGGAGACAATAGAGACAATAACATAACAGTTCCCGAACAAACAAAATCCTAAGATGTAAGTGCTGAGTTGACTCACCGAGCATCAACAGGTGTAATCATTTTACCAAGTAAAATAATGCAAAATATTAATTTAAGAGAATACTCGAGCATTGACAACCAAATCCCCAATATTTGATTATTCATAAGCAAATGAAATTAAAAAAATATATATGATTACTTGATATCCGACCAGATTGATTAAGCAGAACAAGTTACGCATGAGGGTGCAACGGTCAACTACATGTTTTTAGGGATCAGGAAACTCATAAATAAAATGGACCTGACATGGGATTCTTGTTCCAATTACTGACATATAAGCCATCCTAAGTTAATTAGAACAAACATTATTAAACAACAATGAGTTTTTTGACATCAATCACTTTACTAAAAAGACAGAATGTCCTGGACAACTGATACTGTTTAGTGCTAGGGACATTTATACAACCAGTTCTCAGTCTCACACCAGATATTCATTCAGGACAATATGGCACAAATAAGGTGCAGCTTGGGAGTGGTCTCCAAAAGCAAATTTCTGTTTTTGAGAACAAAAAATGAGTTGGACCATTTTTGAGTAACTATTTGCTAAAACTTCTCAAATAAAAACTGTTCTCTCAAAATATTGCAAATGACTTGTTTTTTCAAGAAAATTGAAGTTCCTACAAAAATAAATACTTTCACATTTAAATATCAATTCCAAGCATACAATAAACTTACCCTTTACACGCTACTCAATCATAATTTTTAAAAACAAAAATAGAAAATGGTTTGAAACAATCTCCCAAATTAGCTCCCAAACATGTAAATTTGTTCAGAATGTCACACTTACTCCAAAGAATGCTCTCCAGTATAATTGATACTTGGATTAGAATAGGTTCTAAAAACATCAAAAGATTTTCAACATCCAATTACTTTACACTAACAAAAATAATGCCCAGACTAAAAGTTTTAGTTATCCATATTCTATCAGTATTTGCAGTTCAAGTCACTTAAAGGTGCTTCTGTTAGAGATGTACGTTAGTAGCTTCCACATCAAAAGTAGTTAAGGCAACATAACACGCAAAACTATATTACCTGTAAGATTTGCAGTCAGGCAACCATCATCTGCTTCCACATATGTAAATTTATTCACCGTGTTGCACTCACTCCTAGGACTGGTCTTGTCTATATGGTTGATATGTGCCTCTTTAACTCCATCAGATTCTAAGCAACTCTGGATAACATGAAAAGGAAAATAAATCTTTCCATATAATGCAATTGTGAATATTAAGCATAAAACATTGACCTCATTGGTTTGCAAGTTTCTCACCAGATGGTTTGAGCACAAATCTTTCCATATAGTGCAATATCAACCATTTAATAAACAGACAGTTCATGTACATACACATATTCAATCCAGTGGAATTGTATAATCTATTATCAACAAGTTTAACCCATCGCCCATTGGAACTTAAAGAATATCCTGTGATGACAGTAAACCCAAAGAAATCTTTGAAACCCACAATGTAAAGGTAAAGTCCCCAAACTTCAACCAAATAGTCATGGATTCACTAACCATTAGATTCATATATCGAAGACATTACATTCCCTAAATGTCACAGGGTCTATAACAGTCCTCAACTTCAACTTCAACTTCGCTAAAATTAGAGAGGTAAAATTACTCAATTTGAAAATTTCAAGAACTGATTTACAATGGTAAACAACATAACATTTTTTTATTTTTGTTGCAATAAGTTTGATGAAGTTGAGATCCAATGAGTGACTAAGGTCAAATTTGAAGATTGAAAAAAGAACGACAAAACAAAATAGATCCTAATTGGAGTACGTACATTTATGTCTTCACAGGGAGAGGAACCACATCCTTCTGGAGCTCTATTCTCCTCAAATTCCTTCACTCGGACGGAAGAGTTCGTATTTACCTGAGCATAGAATCAAAGTCAAAATCAATTAGCTTTTCCAAGTATAATTTGAATAGAGCATCTGTCTCACTGCCAGCTGAATTAAATTAACAAGCCAGAAACCTGAGCATTATATACTACATTAATGTCATCATGCCACCATAATTTACTAAAAGGAGCAAGAGGGGAAAAGTTTGCAGGCACACCTCATGAACACTATTGAATCCGTTCTCCTCCAAACCATTTTTTAACTCAGAAGTTTTAATTAGGATGGATGCAGCTTCAGCACAATCTTCCTTGGAGCAATTACTACATCTTGAATTCTGCCATTGCTTTTCCAGCTCAAAATATCTCATCTTTTCCTTCTTAATTTCTTCTCGAAGGTTTTTATTTTCATTCTCTGCACTCTTATTTCAAAAATACATATAATTTTTTTTATTACGTTCAACTAATACTGAATTGATGCTTTCCATATAAACTAAAAGATAAAAAACAGTACAATGGTGAAATTATAGACTCAAAGGAAGTTAAATTTATGTAAATAATTACCTTTAGTTTATCTCTATACTGCTTCAAGACTTGCCATATGGCTTTAGCAAAGTTTTGCATAATCAAATGATTTCTTTCAGTCCCAGACAATTCTGTACGGCTAGACTTCGTTGGTGGACACTCAGTACTACTATCTAGAGGCTCTGATAGAAAATTAAAATTATTAAAAAAAAAAAAAGTTACAAGTATTAAAGACACATAAAAAGCTGAATCAAAACCAGCAGCTTCAAACCAAATTAGATAACTAACGCAAATCAAAGAGAAAAAATGGAAATAGAAGTACCTATAGAGTTTTGATTTAAACAACCTTCATGAGGAAGTTGGCCTTCCTCTTGATGTCCCTTTCCTTCGTTCTGAAACCATACATTATTAATCATTACAATGAATATTGGATAAATAAGATATGAACCAAACATGCTGTTGCAAAATTACAAATCTGCAGTAGATGACAAGAACAAAACAAACTGATCATTAATACATCCCATTTATTTCTAATGTTAGAATTTTCTCATTATTATCCATTATGTCTATAAACTTAAATAAAATATCAGCATAATGAAGTAGGCAATGACATGCCTAGCCAATTTAACAAATAATTGTTGCCTAAAAAATTGTAGAATATTTAAGGATAGAGACACCACACATTTTCAACCGTAGCCACTAAAGTACTAGTAAAGGGAAAAGGCCAACAAAGCAAGCGGAATCAAGAAATTATGACTCATTTAAGGCAAAAATAGCATCCAAAACAGATTAATAACAAACTACCTCACATGCTTCAAGAACACTATATTTTGTTCTTTTCTGCTCCTCAGTTGTAAATAACATCTGCAATTGTCTCTTATTGGTGTTTGAAGGTTCCACAACATTGTTGAACCTGAAGAAACAGATATCAATCCAGGATCACGTGTAAAAAAGTTCTTTAATTTGAATAAGAAGGCAAAAAGTTAAATAACTTGATTTTCATATAAGGTGAAGCTTGTCTGAGAAGGTAGGATGTATCAAGATAGTCTTCTTCCGCTGCTTTCACAGTTAAAATCTACAAAAGGGTAAAAAAGAAAACATATAATATGGGTAAAGAAATAAAGAGGCACACACTTCATTAAGAACACCCTATAGTTTTTGACAAGAGATTAAAAGCATCAATCGTCCCCAACAAAATTAACAGTATCTATTAATCAAAATAAAGATGAAATATGGACCATTTAAGATGCTAAATGAATAGCTGTTCCACAAATGAAAGACTAAAATAAGTACAGCATACCAAGGTCATTCGCTTCTTTCCTTCCAAGTAATCCCGAAGGTACTTGGTCAGCTGTTGGAGATGAAGTAAATTGTTGGTTATGCTTGAGAACATAATTGCAACTTGCAATAAAACATAAAGATAAATAGCAATTTTCATTTTGAAAAACTTCAGCGTGACCAAAATTTCAAAATGAGGAATTCCTCTTGGAACATTACCAAAGAATTGTGGAAATGCTTTTGCAGTGGCTTCTTTGGGTTCCTTTGGTGTTCAAACAATGACTAAAAATGAAACAAGAGACACACTATAAGTAAAAAATGTAAAAGGTAATGAAACAGGGGAACAGACCAAAAAACAAAGAGAAGATGAGAGAATGGAGAGCACCAGTGAGATGTCATTCAATAAAATGAATATCAACTTCTATTGTACGTAAGAAAAACGACTGATGGGACAAACATAGCAAATTTTGGGATTTTGGACACCCGTGGAAAATGGTGGGCTTAAGGCTATTAAGTGGTTTATTACACTTTATCCCTTCACCAATTGGCTTCTTCCTTTTTTATAGAACTATGTATTTTACTTTAATGAATCAAGCTCATAGGTTATAGGTAGATTAAAATATTAAGTTATATTAAAATAGATGTATAGAGTAAAACATGAAAATTATATAAATCAAGCAATTTAGATAAATTCTAATTTGATTAAGATGAAAATTATATAGAAAACTACTTTATGGTAATTTTATTACATTTCATAGACAAATCCTAGAAAATAAATAAAATTGTCTAATGTTCTCAACCATTCTCGTATGATTCTCACAAACAACTCCTACAAATAAACACGGTTATTCCTAAATCGCAAGCATCCAAAAATACAGGCGCTATTTCCACATATCCTTTCTCATACATCTTAATAAACTCAAAATGGACTCCTATAAGCACATGTAGTGAACTTTTTTCTCTCCTTTGAACATCCATGAGTGTTCGAGCCAATTCATTTGCACTTTAACTAATCTCACCTGTTTGACCTTATAAGTTATAACATTCTATTGTCAAAATACTCGATTTATTATCTCATTTCTGAATAGGTGACCAACATGGAGTTTGAACTCATTTCCCAAAAGTCCATTTGCTCTTGTCATATGCTTCAATTTCATTCTGTCACATGCCCCGATGCCAAGGCCAACCCAGGATTATTATCCCATTTGAACTCATTGAATATGAAAAATACAAAATACTTATCAATACGTGGGGAAGAAAATGATGAAAGGATTCACACAAATAGAGGACATACTCTTAGACACAAGCCAAAAACCATTGATGTATTATTGATGAAGTTAGCTTCAAGTAATCTTGTCCCCTGCAAAAAAGGGTGGTGGGAGGGAAGGTTAGTCATTGAGGTTCCATCATCTTCTTCTTCCACTTCTCAACTTTCTAATATACAGACAACATAACTAGAATAACATGAATATTTCATTCTAGTAAGAATATTCTCGTTCAATTCATTTTGAAATAACAGATTATCATTATTTAAATCAAGAATTGTCCTATATTATGGTTAGACTCATTGTCTATTGTGCCTTAACTACTAAATTTTACGATTACAACATTAAATGAAAGAATGACAATCATTATTAAATTTAAGACCAGAGGAAAGGCAAAACCCTAAGAAGTACAGATATGGTCACGAGACATGGATAGAACACGACACGGACACAGTGACACGTTATTTTCTAAAAACTAGGACACATATACTACAATGACACATTTATTAAAATATACAATTTTTTTAGGAAGGACATTCAAAGTCAATAAGCTTATGCATTTTAAGTTTAAAAATATGAGTTTGATGTATTTTACTCGTAAAATTTATTATTTTGTCCTATGTTACTATTTATGTCTATTTCTTATGTTAACAAGTGTTCGGTGTGTGCCTAACAACTATCAAATTCATATTCAATTTGTACAACTAGTGTGGCACACATCTATTAAGCTAACAAGTGTCTAATAAGTGTCCGACACAAACTTATTACCAAAAATGAAGTGTATGTGCTTCTTAGGCAAAACCTAAATACTGATTACCAGAAGAAAATAGAACCTGATTCGCTGTTCTTTTCTCTCTTTCAGCTCCAGCGAGATCAGCAATGGTTAGTATGGCACAGTTCGATGCATTCTTGACGTCGTCTTGGTTAGCAACTCTGCGGATGTTAATGATGCACTGTGACCGGCTGCAAGGATAAGCATTAAACAACAAAATCATAAGAATCTATCTTCTAGGTAAGTAGAAGTGTAAATATATAGCTCCATCCAATTTTCTTTACAACAAAATGCAGTGGTGATAGAGTCAGAAATTTGCATGAAACAATTAACATTTATCATGAGGAAGTGGAGGTGTGCAACACATTTATCAGTCTCAATCACAGCGTGTTTGCATGTGTGCTGACATCTCCTGGCTCAAGTCGTTTCAGTTAGAGCTTGTTTGAGAACTCTTTTGGAAACATTTTTCTGTTTTTTTTTTTTAACAAAATTTCCCTGAAAACATGTTTAGATGTATTTTTTTCTAGAAGTTGTTTTTTCTCGTTTTCTTTTATTGTGCTTTTATGGACGATTTGATTTTTAGGACAAATAAAATTCTTTGTTTCAAAACGATAGATTTGTGAATAATAGCTTCAATTTGTACGATAAGACTACCATTTACAAGCCCTCTACTCAATCAATTTTCAAAAATACTTTGAAAACAAAAATGGGAATCGAATTCAAAAATAATCTTGTCAAACAAGCTCTAAAAATTCATCTGCAATCCATGAAAACCAGGTGATCTGATATAAGAAACACAAGCAGGAATTTTGCAGTCATATATTCCCTATTCTAAAACTAGCTAAACGCTGCTATAATCGCCTCAAAGAATGGACTCCCTCCTTAGTTCATGTCCTTCGGCCCCCACATAACAAAATCATGCCAAGTCCTGAATTTCTCCCACATCCTGCCTTTTATCATGTGAATGAAGACATCTCATATTTGCAACCATTAAAGCACAACGGGAACTGCTGAGTACTACCACCATAAAATACAAGGAAATTGTTCCATTTTCCAACGAGACCATTATTGACTCAATTACAAACCATATAATAAGATATCGTCCATCAGCCAAACAGAATACTTTCTTCAAGAAAAAGATCAAAAGAGAATCACAGCACCTTGATGTACTATTTGCATTTGTCATTGCAGTGGCCCGTCTAGTCATTGCACAAGCCACTAGTGATTCAGCTTCTCCGGCATTAGAAATTAAAACCTTCATAAAAATACGAGGGTCCATCAACTTTCCTTGAAGCACAATCACAATTTACCTTCTCAATAAATATACAGACGCATAATGTACGCACAACCTACAAAAAGTAACAGAGTTGCATAAAACAGATGTTGCTCCGTTACCTCTTTCAGGCCCTTTATAGTAAACTGCTGCATAGTTAATTCGCCCCCATCTGCTGAAAGATCATACATCTTTTCCCCTTTACCTTTTTCTGAGTATATTTCAAAGATCGATAAATAATATGACCTGCAAAAAATCGCACCACTAGCGTTCAGTATTCAAACATCCTCTGTGAATGAACTATATCCCTTGACTCACAGTTTCTTACAACACAATTCTCTTCTGCCCCGGAAGTTCAAAGACAGGCAAGGGGAAGACCCAGGGCATAATCTTGAAAGAGGTATTTAGTACACACAGGATAGTCCATCAAGACTGAAAGTGCATTACAATAGCAAAATACCTGGAGTTGTGAGAATCATTCGACTCTGTCTTTCTGAAAATATGTTGAAGAGCCAATGGAACCATACCAGGATCTCTTGGACTTCCAAAAATGGTGTGCGTCTTACCCGAGCCGCTAGGACCCAGTGCAGTCAGCATTCCACTTTTACCCCTCAAAAAATCCTCCAGTAAAGGACTAACCATTCTCCCATACACTTCACCCTGCCAACAATGGTGGAATCAGTTCGCGATCAAATAACCAAGAATCACCCAGAAAAAGAACGAAAAAAAAAAACCCAATTCATAATTCACCTGAGATGATTCCGTAGAAAATACATGGGAAAATCCTTCGTAAACCTCAGACTTACTCCGCCTGGTCTCTTGCAACGCAATAGGCGGACAGACTGTTACTGAGTGATCATCATTAACCGTTATACAAGCCTCGCTGCTCTTCTTCTTCACAGTATTCTCCTTCGCCGCTTTCTTCTTCTGGGGGTTCTGCGGCCATACATGTCCGGACCTCGAATTATGATCGCCAGCATTTCCGGATTTCTTCAAATTCTTCGGCTGCAAAGGTCGAACTCTAAGGTAAACCTTTAGGTTTTCGGAGAGAGGAGATTGAAGGGACGATGAGTAATTGTCTTTAGGGTTTTGAGGAAGTTCCATGGCAAGAATTTCTTGAATTGGAAATGAAGAAATGGCAGAGGAAGAAGGATTGGAGTCGGGAGCTGCTTTCACGGTAGGCGTAGCTCTTGCTCGCCGGTGAGGGTTTCTCCGAACCGTCACCGTGTTCGGACACTGCACTGGACTGCTGTTCTCCTTCTCCATCTTCCAGTCGCGACCGATCACCCTCGTACTCGAACTTTGGCGGGAATATATTTGCTTTTAAAAGGGTTTATATACTACAGTTTTTATTTTATTTTTAATAAATAAATATCTATTGTCACCGTCCATTATCTAATCAGGGAAATTTCACTCCCTACTATATAAATACTTTTAGAAAATGTCATAATGTTATTTTCTGAACAAAGTCATAAGTTTATTTTCTAAAATGTCATAATTTTTTTATTTAAAAAAAATAGTTTAGTTTTCTGATCTATTTAGATTATATTTGAGTTTGACTTGGTTCTAATTACTACTTTTGTTTATAAAATTGTCAATTTTGATATATGTTCAGAAATATATTAATATCGAATGAAATATAGAGTAACTGTATTTTATTACCTTTTTTAGTTCAAGGATGTGTACTATAATGGAGATTCCAACCTCAAATTTGTTCAAATGTATATGTTTTAACTAAATAAAGTAGACTTAATTTATAATATAAACTACTCTTGCAATAAAATTATATATATATATATATTATTGTATTACATTTGAAGTTTCATTTTCAAATAAAACTAACTAAAGATCAAATAACCAAATCTATATTTGATATATCGAGAGTAAAAAACAAAATTACTCCGTATAATGTCATTCTTAAAAATTGATATATGTTATTATTATTAATTTTAGTTAAAAATGTGGGAGTGGGAATTTAATTCACAACTATTTAATCGTTCAGATGTGTTTTAAACCATTTAGTTATATTCTGGTTTGCAACTGTTAGAGATTTTTTTTCCTATAATTGATGTATATTATCGAAACAAAAATAATAACGATGAATAATGTTGGAATAATCAATTACACTTATTTTTCGAATGTGCAGGAGATTTGAACCTAATATTTAAGTTTAAATTCAACCTATTTATCAATTTCAAATCCCACCATTTAACTCCTAAAATGATTTTTATTATTTTAAATATTAATTTTTTTAGAATATTGGTCCAAAAGACACTTTGCGATGAGTATTTGTAAGTTTTTAACATAACATGACATGGCCTTTTTTTAGTCTATCAGGTGGACATCTAACCATTATATTTAAGATAATTTTTTGGAAAAGCAAAATACAGACCTACCACGTAGAGTAATATGAAATTCTGTTGCAAGTGACTTTTCTTTCATTATTTAAAAAATACGCAATGGTCGAACTATTGAATTTGACTAGAGTGCACCTAAATATCTTGAAACCCCATTAGTAGTTTGTATATAGCTGAGCTGAAGTATCTCATGTAAGTATATAACTGTCTAACTAATTATAGAAACAACCTAATCGACTCGAGCCATGGGACCTACAAGATCTCTCTTGTAAATAAATATTCATTCTCTTGTACAAGTATGCAATTATGATTCCTCGTCTTAAGAGTCATAGGACGGATCCAATAACAATTAACGTGTTGGAGGTATTTGTTCTCTCGCATAGCCCAACCTATTCCACCTCATGCTTCTAACTTTCAAGACAATTGGATATAAATGTAATAATAATAATAGATGTCTTATCTACCCAGCTATGTTCTAATGGGTCAACATAACATAATATGACTATTACCTTATATATAACATATTATTTATTTTTGTTATTTTGTATCCTATAAAATATATTGAAGTGGCTGTGAAAATTTAATTTTATATTTTTATAATTACTGACATAGATATAAAGGTCTATTTGATACAACTCCTCCATGGAAATGGTTCACAGCCCAACCTCCTAGACACACACCTTGTATACCTTAATGGTCAAAATACATTAAGAAGGAAAATAAACTCCTAACGAAAAATCACTTGCCTCGTCGAGGAAGCAATTCTCACAGGCGAAGAAGCGGATCAAATTTTGATGAACAGTTAAAAAAGATGATAGAATATGTGTTTTAAGTTTTTACTCCTCTCTGAATGAAAACTCTAGTTCATAATGAACTTGGCTTAACGATTAACATAAAATCTTATTTTCTAAAAAAAAAAAAAACTCCTAATCCAATCCATTAAATCGCTCCACGAGTTTAGAGAACAATACCAATAATTTTTATACAGGATGCGTCAAACTAGGTATTACGAGACTCTCCATGTTCAAAGGAAATAATAAGGCTCTTCACTCTCTTTGCATTATCAAAATCTTTAAACTCATATACAGCCTAATAATAAAATCCTAAAAGCTAAACATCCTTTACAAGACCAGAAAAAACACAGCTAAAAGTCAGCATAAGACTAGGAATGATTCAAAGAAGAATTAAAATGGGGTCTTGATGCCTTGGCCTCTTATCACCATTAAACATGTTTAGGGAAGAAAAAACAAAGTTCAACAAACAACTTTTACTAATTTACTTAAAATCAATTAGAAAACTTTTATGTTAAACACAAAATTGAAAACAAAATCCCTATACAATTTTTTCCATTTTACCATAAAATGAGGGATTTGAACTCTAATCTTGGAAAGACAAGTGATATATTGTTTGGTTGAATTATGTTTTCGATATTAATTTTTGTAATTATTCATTTTTTAGTACAACAAATGAGATGAGAGAATTCAAATTCATACCCTCTTCGACTAGAGACATGTGTTAATTACTACTAATGTTGGACACTAATTTTGTATCCCTACATTAATAAAAGTAACTAAATATTTCAACAAAAATGAACGGCTCAAAATTGTGTCTAAGTGTTAGCCAATATTTTTGTTATATTATTTCATTACAAAATAATAAAGAACCCTAGGCGACTCCAAAATTGCGTATCCACCTCTACTTGTTGAGCTTTGTATGATTTTAAATGGACTCCGTCTAGCTTGATATATATGAAGTCTAACAGAGATTAAATTGCAACTCTTGAAGATGAATTGAACTGGTTGATTGATATTGAGAGTCTAGCTGTAGCATTCTCTTCTACTTCTTTCAACCATCTTCACGAGGATTGCAATAAGCCAGTCGATGCTTTGGCAAAATTTGGTCTCTTGCACTCGACCATGAATTTTTTGTTTTTTTTTTTAATTTTATTTTTTCAACTTGACATTTGAATGTTGTAAAGGGGGATTTCCGTTTGTAGCCCATACGACATTATCTTCTATTAATTAAAGTAATTCTCTTATAAGGGAAAAAAACAGCCTATCCCGAAATGAAAATTCTGAAATCTACCACTCCAACTAATCCACATGTTGTCATATTTAATTTAATGTAGAAAAAAGTTCAACAGGAGAAAACTAGCCTTTGGTATTTTAATATGTGCCTTATCCATATATCATCTTTAATTTAATATTTATTGTTATAAATGTCTCCTTAAAATTTATCATTTTAACTTATGACTCAATTAAAGATATTTTGTTCGACTGCAAAATTTTGTAACCCTACCATGATTAAGTCAATAATGTTAAGAACACCTATGGTATCAAAGTAATATAAATAGATGAATAATTAAAAAACCTTTGATTTTTTAGGTTCATTAATAGGTAGATTGTCTTCTAACAAATTTTTTTTAATGAAATTGTTATTTCATGTATTATTCTTTATATTTTTGGTAGTTTTTTTAAAATTATTTTCGTTGCTCTCGAAAAAAGAGAAACTCCCACTAAGTATGATGAATATGTTTAATAAAAATTAAAATCTCTAATCTAATGTCAACTCTGAGTATAGGGATTAAAGCATCTTTGTTTCGAATCTCTCACTCATATTGTACTAAAATTTATTTAATTTAACTTTAACAATTCCCTAATTTATTTCTTAACACTAAAATTTATTTAGTTTAACTTTAACGATTCCTTAATTTATTTCTTAACTTTTTAAGATTTATTTAAAAGAAAATAAATACTTTCTTTTTGGAAGGTAAAAGAAAAAAAAAACCTTTTTAATTGTTGCTTGACCTTGCAATCTCTATCAATCAATCAATTAAAAAAAATGTTGAATTCCAAAGGTATCCCTCGGGACACGTTGTGTTTCCACGTCGAAAACATAAAATCAACCCAATAACTTTCGGCCACGTAGAAACAAAGCAATCAGATCCGTCAGATTCTCCACATCAGCTATTACGGGCCGTTAAGATCGTCAAGTAGAATTCGATTTTGAAGGTCTTCCGTGGGGGCCAGTAATGGAAATTTGAAGTGGCTTTATCCACGTCAAACGAACAAATATCATCCAATAAAATTTTGCCACGTTATTGATCAGAATGCCTCGCCGTAGGATCATCCACGCTGGCAACATAGATCAATCAAGAGGGACAATATAAATACGGATAATCTCTGGAGAAACCAGATCAGTGATCGAAGCTACTGGAAGTTTTTTCAGAAACCATGAGGAAGTGGACGATCGCTTCTGCCCTGCTCCTTCTTTGCCTTCTTTCTCTCGTTCCAGATCAAGGTGTGATTTCGCTTCTTGTTTCAGCCATTTTTTATTTCTTTGTAATGGTAAAGATTTGTAGTGATGTTGTTTCAATGTTTTCTTTCTCCTTGTGTTTTGGTGTTTAGGTCCTAGATTTCATGCCAAGGCCGACGGTGCCGCGGACGAAGTTGTAGATCCACCAAAGGTCGAGGATAAGATCGGCGCCGTTCCACATGGCCTCTCCACTGATTCTGATGTTGCCAAGAGGTTCGTGAATGTCTAATCTCGTTGTTCCACACTTTAACCTATAGATTCGTCCACTTCAGGAAATTTTTTTAATGTATCTTCTCGGAAATTGTTGTTTCAGGGAGTCGGAGTCAATCTCGAAGAGATCTCTTCGCAGCAGCGGGGAGAAATTTGAGTTCCAAGCTGAGGTGTCTCGTCTCATGGACATTATTATCAATTCCTTATATAGTAACAAAGACATATTCCTCAGAGAGTTGATCTCCAACGCCTCTGATGTAAGTTCTCCCTGCTTCGTCTTACTTCATTAGATCTAGTAATTTTGTAGTTAAGATATTTATATTGGATGATGGTATATTTGCATTTCAGGCGTTGGATAAGATTAGGTTCCTTTCCCTGACTGATAAAGAGATCTTGGGTGAGGGTGACAACTCGAAGCTGGAGATACAAGTGAGTCTCATAGCGCATCATGCTAGATTAGGACTAGGACATATTGTTTTCTTTTACCTTGACAAAATTTATTGTTCTAGATGGTGATCCCTTGAATACTTATATATTGTCCTGAACTCATATAATACAGATTAAGTTGGACAAAGAAAACAAAATCCTTTCTATTCGCGACAGAGGTATTGGTATGACGAAAGAGGATTTGATTAAGAATTTGGGAACCATAGCAAAATCTGGAACTTCAGGTACTTTTATTATCGGAGTTCATTGTATTTATTTATTTATTTTTTAACCAAGGTAGGTGTAATGTGAAACGTATTAAATTTGTTGTTTCCCCTGCGCAGCATTTGTGGAAAAAATGCAGACAAGCGGAGATCTCAATCTTATTGGACAATTTGGAGTAGGTTTCTACTCCGTGTACCTTGTGGCTGATTATGTTGAAGTGATTAGCAAACACAATGACGACAAACAGTGAGCAACCGTCAACCTCATTCTCATTTCAGTGTTTGGCTTGGCATGTTATTTATGTTAAACTTTTCCTTGTTTACAGACATGTGTGGGAATCGAAGGCTGATGGAGCATTCGCCATCTCTGAAGACACTTGGAATGAACCTTTAGGCCGTGGAACTGAAATTAGACTGCACCTTAGGGATGAAGCTCAAGAATACTTGGAGGAGGGCAAACTGAAAGTAAGTATGATTGACATTTCTCATTACCTGCTTAGATGTTCGTTTAACGATTTGACCCTCATATAGAACCCAAAGGATGGCCTTCTAGATTTTTTCGCCCACTGGAACAATAAATTATGTCTTTTTTGCTTGAGAGCCTATGGAGAATAACTGGTTCATTTCTTATCAAGAGAATAGCTTGTTCATAGTACCTCTTGATATCCACCATCTATAATGGTCAAATTTATATTGTTATCTGTCTACGTATAAGTGGTTTGAACTTGTACTTTCCCGTCCGCTTGGAGTAGCGCTGTGTATATTTTGGTTTCTGCTTCTGCTTTGAAGACACCTTGCAGCTGTTGATTGATTTCTCTCTCTTGGAACCTATCATTACTTCTTTCCCTCTGTTTCAAGCAGTTTAGTTGAGCCTAATTTCAAAATAATTTATTGTTACTTTTCCTTCATTATCTTCTGCAACCAGCAATTTCTTCTCGCTCTGTATTTCAAATTTTCAAATAAGTTATAGGGTGCCATATGACAGCTACCCTCTTGTACACTGTTGGATATTAGTAAACTTGATCGATTATTAGTTTATTGGTTAAATTAATTTATCTGAAACGTATATTCTTATTTTGTATATTATTCTTCCTTGCTGACTATTTGAACTAAAATGGGTTGTGGTAATTTTTTCTATTAGGATTTGGTGAAGAGATATTCAGAATTTATCAACTTCCCCATTTTTATCTGGGCAAGCAAAGAGGTTGACGTGGAGGTTCCTGCAGATGAGGATGAATCCAATGATGAAGAAGAATCACGTATGTGTTATCTTGAATGTTGAATATGCATATTCTCATACCTTTGCGGTGGAAAAAACTTTCTATTGGTCATCATGGTTTAAGTTGTTCTGATTACATTTTCCTTGATTTCAAAAACAGCTGAAAGCAGCTCATCGGAAGAAGGGGAAGATGATGCAGAAAAGAGTGAGGATGAAGATACCGAGAAGCCAAAGACAAAGACAATCAAAGAAACAACTTATGAATGGGAGCTTTTGAATGATGTGAAAGCTATATGGCTGCGGAGTCCTAAGGAGGTGACAGAAGAAGAGTATACTAAATTCTATCAT